ATGGAGTACCAAGACTGAGGAGCACGCCGCGCACTTCCTACTCGGCATGGCTAAGGATACCGAGGCGTGGCGCTTTCGACCAGAGATGTGCCCAACCGCGTGTCTCGTCTGGGCGGAGGCACGCGCCATCCTTGGTCTCCCAGACTTTCTCCGACGGCGAGTTCGGCAGGTAGCCCCGCGCATCCCGCAGGTCTTTGCCTTCGTCAAGAGCAAGTGCTGGCACCCACAGGGCGGCCACCTCTGCACCAAGGAGGGCCACTCCTGCGTCCGTCGGGTCGTGGACATGGCGGGCACCCCGTTCGCGAAGGGCTGGAGGACCATGGGGCGCGCCGTGCGTGCAGTCGTAGCTGGCACAGGCCGCTCCAGAGAAGTCTTCAGCATGGACGACGTCGCCCCCGCGCTGAGGGAGACCCTGGGCCACCTCACTCCCCCCAAGTGTGCCATCACTACCGAGGGGAGCTGCGGGTGGCCTTGTGAGTGCTGCGGGGCCAAATTGGATGGCCTATCGTGTGCAGCTGTAGACGTAGATCAGGCTTTCGAGGCATGTAAGGGCGAGTCGGTCATGAGTGCGTGGGGGAGAACGGCTAGGAGATTTCAGGAACGGTGGAGAGCTGATTCCGTGATGGTGCAACGGGGGCGCAAATGCGTTACCCGCATCGGTCCCTCCCGGTGGAATCGCGCCTGGTGGGTCCTGTCCTTATCTCAGCTTGGCTACGCCCTGAAAGCCTCGACCATGATTAGTTTAGCATGCGTGGGGGAGGTCGTTGTCGAGATGCTGGGTTTATGTATAGGAGGAGTTATGAGTTCAGCAGCGGTAGCAGTTCAGTTGGGCAATGAAGAGGCCAGCGTTCTGGAGGACCCCCACAAACTCGACGCCGAGGGATGGTGTTTTCCTGGACCTGATGTTCTATCTGTTTTCGCCTGGGTGAGGTACGTGGATGATATCTTGTCGTTTTCGTATCGTTTGTGTCCGACGTGCATGGTTCGTTGTCTGCGAGCGACTTTCAGGGAGCCCATCAGCATCGTTTTCCTAAGCAGTGCCAGCTCCAGAAGCGTGACCTGGCTTGACCTTGAGATCCACCTGGGCCACCAGTGCATTCAGTGGACGCTGAAAAATCTGAATCGGCAATGGTTGGCAGGCTCGTCATCATCTCATTCATCAGCGTTCTTGCCCTACTTGGACCATCTACCCGTACCTTTTACACGCCTTCGGGGAGTCTTCCTGGGCAAAATTGCGAGAGGGGTGACTCTGGAGTTACCGACGGGAGCCTTGTATGTCTGTATTATGGAGTTGTTGATCGAGCTTATCAAGTTGTCGTATCCCTTCGAGGTTGTGCGTGCATTATCTCATTCCTTGCCTCCGTCCCCAGCCGTGCGGCTCGCGAGACGGGCACTGCGCTCCTGGGGCAAGCTGTTCCTGCCTTCCCTTGGGGCGATGGGAGGCGGCAGCAAAGGAGGTGGTGGCCGTGGCCAGGGCTTTGATCAACGGAACGGACCTGGAGGAGATCAGTATCGGTGGCCGTGGGTCAAACCTGACCAGCACCCAGACTCCAGAGATGGCGGACACCATCGGAGCCGTCGCAAGCACAAGAAGAGCAAGAAGGACAAGAAGAGGCCGAGGTCGTCGTCGTCTACATCATCATCGTCCTACGACTCGGACAAGCAGTTGAAGCTGGCGGAGCGCATCATGTGGAAGAAGGACCCGTCGTACCGCGAGTACGTGAGGACCAAGGAGGCCGAGAAGAGGGACGAGGAGTTTGCGAGGCATGGGCGCATCCTGGCGGAGGCTCTGGCACCAGGCCTGCAGGCGGTCATGGCTAGTGCTGTCACGAGCACGGCCCCCACGGCGGAGTTCCCGCCGCCGCCTCCGCTGACGGCGCCTGTCAGTGGGAGCTCGGGGGCCGCCCCCGCGGGCACAACCCCCCCCGTGAGCACCGCACCTGAGGTGCTCACCCCGCTCCAGCGCCACCTCATCTGCGCGGAGCTGGACCACAAGGTGAAGCTCACCCAGGGCACGCTGGAGGAGCTCACCAAGGAGATCGGGAGCAAGTGGTCGCAGAGGGCCGTGGTCCAGCGCCTGGACGAAGGCATCAAGCGCATGGGCGGCCCCACGACCAAAGTACCACGAGCTAAAGAAGAACGGGCACGCCTTCTGTTCCAGCTAGTGCAGAAGATGGCCTGAGGAGATATCGGCGTTCATCACGACGCTTCCGACAGTGATTCTGATGTGGGTTCCATGTTTGCCGACCCTTGCCCAGAGGTTTCCGTCCGAACCGCTGCACTTCGTAAAGAGGATCGGACTTCTCAGAGCATGGTCATCTTGCCTACTTCTGTGTTCTTGTTCCTCACTACCCTTATCCTCACCTGCGGAGTCGTTGTCGGTTACCAGCTCGTGCCACGGGATTTCATGACTTACAGCTACCTGAAGTACTTGGCGATCGAAGCCGTACGCAATCTTGCCATCGGATCAATGAGGACAATGGGAGCTACGGCCGCCTTGGCCTCTGCACCACCTGAAGTCTGGAGCTCACCAGCGCCGGCGGGGGCAAGTCTGTTTCTGGCGGCACTTCCGTGGGCGTTCCAGCGAGGAATGAGGTGCTTGCGGACGTGATGACTTACGGAATTGCGGGAGCACGTATGATGCCGTGGATGCCTTCATGGTTGACCCTCTGCTCCTCGGCATTTCCCAGGAGGGACATCATCGCGTTTGTCCGTAGCTGAGTGGGCTGAGTGGGGAGTTCGCAGACGCACGCACGCTCCAGTCTGTCGCAGCTCGGTGCCATGCCAGTCAGCCGCAGGATTGGATAACGAGAGTTATCGCCACAAGAGAATCATCATCATCATCATCATCATCATCATCATCATCATCATCATCATCATCATCATCATCATCATCATCATCATCATCATCATCATCATCATCATCATGATTATCATCATCATCATCATCATCATCATCATCATCATCATCATCATCATCATCAACATCATAATCATCGAGACGAAGCGAGATCCACCGCCGCTTTTTAACTGTGAAAATTGCCACCATTTCTCCCGGAAGAAACCCTGGGTCGCCCCCCCCCCCCCCCCCCCCCCCTCCGAATATCTCCCCCCCCCCCTGCCTTGGAACCCTCCCCCCCCCCCCTCCCTCCCCTAACCCCCATCCCCCCCCCCCCTCCCGCCCCTCGAAAACCCGGGGGGTCACAGCGGTTCGACCCCTTCCCCCCCCCCCCCCCCTCCATCCTGGAAAACCGGGGGGGTCACAACCGGGTTCGAAGACCCCCCCCCACCCTCTCCGAAAACCGGACCGGGGGTCACTACCGGTTCGAACCCCTCCCCACCCCCCCACTCACCGCCAGCAAACGATTCCCGGTCCCTACCACCGTCCGCATCACATCCTCCACTGTTGTTCCCAGTACCCTCACCACCACTGTCCCCACTGTGTCCCCACCAGTGCCCCCACCACTGTCGCACTGTCCCCACTGTCCCCACCACTGTTCCCACCACGGTTCCACTCTCCCCACTGTCTCCACGGCCCCAACCACTGCCCGACTATCCCCACTGTCCCCACTGTCCCACTGACTCCGCCGCTGTCCCACTGAGCTGTCCCACTGTTCCCACCACTGTCCCCACTGTCCCCACCACTGTCCCCACTGTACCTCTGTCCCATTGTCCCACCGCCGTCCTCGCCACCGCCTTCACCACTGTCCCCACCACCATTGAACCCTCCACTGTCCCACTGTTTCCACCTCATTCCCACTGTGCCCACACCACTGTCCCCACCACCACCGTCCCCACCACTATCCACTGTCCCCCCTGTTCCCACCATTGTCCCCACCACTGTCCCCACCACTACCGGCCCTCTACTGTCCCACTGTCCCACTGTCCCCACCACTGTCCCGCTGTCCCCTCACCACTGTCCCCACCAACACCGTCCCCACCACTGTCCGCACCCCCACTCGGTTTTCGAGGGGGGGGGGGCGGGTTCGAACCGGTAGTGACCCCCCCCCTTTTCATGATGAGCTGGGGGGGGGGGGGAGGGGTTCGAACCGGTAGTGACCCCCCCCGGTTTTCCGGAGGGGGGGGGGAGGGGTTCGAACAGGTAGTGACCCCCCCTGGTTTTCCGCCAGCAGCGGTAGAACACGCTCTTTCTAATCATCATGATCATCATCCTGATCCTCATCTTCATCCTCATCATAGTTATCCTCCTCTTCCTCCTCCTCATTCTCCGCAACCTCATCAGTATCGCTATCATCATCAATACCACACTCACCATCACAATCACCACCATCATCATCACCATCATGATCATCATCATCCTCGTCATCATTATGACCATCATCATCGCCACCATCAGCATCACCATCACCACCACCACACCTGCATCATCATCATCATCATCATCATCATCATCAGCATCATCATCATCAGCAGCAGCATCATCATGATCATCGTCATCGTCGTCGACATCATCATCCCAGCATTAGCACCATCATAATCATCGTCATCATCGTCATCGTCAGCGCCATAGTCAACATCATCATCAGCATCATCATCACATTGATCAACATCATCATGATCAGCATCAGCAGCATCACCATCATCCTCATCATCCTCATCATCCTCAACATCATCATCATTACCAGCATCATCATCATCGTCGTCAACGTCATGGTTATTATCATCTCAATCAGAATCAGAAACAGCATCATCGTCATCGTCATCGTCATATTCGTCGTCGTCGTTGTCGTCATCGTCATCGTCATCGTCACCGTCATCATCATCATCAGCATCATCAGCATCATCATCATTACCATCATCATCGTCATCATCGTCATCCTCATCATTATCATCACCACCACCACCGTCACCATCTTCATCATCACTTCAATCATCATCATGATCATTGTCATCGTCGTCATCATCATTATCACCATCATCAGCGTCATCATCATCATCACCATCTTCCCTTCTCCTCAACATCATCCTCCGTTTCATGGGCTCCGACGCCAAGGCAAGCACGGCCCCGTAGTTGCCGCCGTTGCCGCAGTAGTTGCTGGGAGGAGGAGCGGTATTCAACCCACTCCTTCGCCCTCCATCACTTGTCCATCCTGCTCCCCCTCCAACCCAGACCTCCCCGCGCCGTGACAGAAAAAAAGCAATACCAGAAGAGATTAGCCAGTTTCGTCCCATGGGGGCATTACTGGCCCCTGGGGACGTCGAAAACCAATCGGATGAAAGGCCGGCTCTGGGGAAGGGGTCAAGACCTCGGGGGGGTCCACGTTTCGAAAAAATCACGACGCCAGGGGCCTGGAAAACTCCCTCTGCGCGGTGTCACTCCCCTGCTCTCCTCCCAGCATCCCCTCCTGCCCCTCACTGGGCTCTGTCCTCTGCTCCCCCCTCTCCTCCACTTCGCCCCTGCTCTCCTCCACAGCCACTACTCCTCCTCTGCTCTCCCCCACGCCTCCCCTCCCGTCCCCTCCCAACACGGCGTCTCTCCCGCTTGGCCAGACACCGCCACCGCCTCGCGCCGCCTGTCCAACGCCGTCGGGGCCAGCCGAGACCCGCGCCGTGTCGGCAAGCCAAAGCACAAATTGCCACTGACCAGGCCCGCACAGCTCCATGCCAACAACCTGTTATGGAGCCGCGCGGGCATGGGCAGTGGGTATACGGTCAGGAACGTGTGCTCAGCGTGTCGCGCCTCCAGTTCTGGCCCGCCACGCTTCGGCGCGACACGCCAAGCACGCCCCAGACCCCAAAGCCTCACCGCTCCGAGCTTTTCACCGCCTCCCGCCCCACAGAGCAGAGCGATGCGCCATCAGCCTGGGAGGCGCAGCGTATCGCGAGAACCGCCGCCGCGACTCATACAAGCAAAAATTCCTAATCGGCACCGCCGTTTGCGAAATAGACGCCCGCCAGTAGAAGTACCGAAGGGCCCCCCCCCCCATGCACCCCGTATCTCAAAGTTGGCGAGCGACCGCGCCAGAAGTGAGTGCGAAGTGGTGTGCGAAGTAAACGCCCACCCTTGCCAGGAGCCATCGCTCCCTGTTAACCTAAAAATACGGGGGGCAAGGGGGCGCGTGTCGATGTCTTGCTACCTAGATCCGGCATGGACAGTCATTTGGCAACCAGCAGTACCCCTCCTCCTCCTTATCTTCCTCTTCCTGCATCACTTCAAACTCCTCACCCTGTTGCTGCTCGTGCACAGGGAAGCCACACAGACGCTGAACCGTGCGGCACAGCAGCGGGGGCCACAGTCGCCGCAGGGCCAAACGCGAGGGTCGGAATGGTTTGCTGGATGTCCCACCACTTCGTCCTACGTATTTTCCACCATCCTTGTGCGTTGCGTTCGATTTCCTCCTGCTGAACCTCCTCATCATCCCCCTCGCCTTCGTATTCATCATCATCGTCATCATATAACTATGAGTATCATTCTTAGCATTCATATTCTTACGATTAGCACTAGCATCCTGATAGCTGTTAGCATATCTCTCTTAGCACCATCATCACCAGCACCATCAGCAGCATCAGCAGCATCACCATCATCAGCAGCAGCCGCAGCACCATCACCATCAGCATCATCATCAACATCATCAGCATGATCAGCATCATCAGCAGCATCATCATCATCAGCTTCATCGTCGTCCTCCTAATCGATACCATCGTCATTGCCACCGTCATCGCCATTCATCATCATGACCACCAACACCATCATCACCGTGGTCAACATCGCCATCAGCATCATTATCCGCATCATCACACTCCACCATGTCACCAGCATGGTCACACACACGCGCCACCATCATGATCATGATCATCATCACCTTCATCACCATCCCCATCATGGTCCAAGGACCTCTACAAGCTGAAGACCCCGCTCTTCAGGGCGTCGACCCCGACACCCACCTTTGGAGCGCAAGAGATGAGGGACGACTGGCACCAGCAGTGGTGCCCTCCCAATCATGCTCAGGAAGCCCCTGGACATCTACAAAAATGGCGGCAACATGCTGCCAACGTGGTGTTCCCTCGTTCACAGTTTGATCGTCAGTGGCTACCGTCTCCCGAGGCCCTGGATCAGGCGATTGACCATGCGTCAGGAGCCCCAGGATTCGACGGCTGGAGCGCTCACGAGCTGAAGATCATCAAGAAAGTATAGCCGGTGCTGGTGCAGGAGCTCTACGAGCTCTGGTGTCGGACCTCTCTTTATGCTGTGGAGCACAAAGGGCGATTTCCACGAGCATTTCTGAACAAAGTTTTTCCCTGGCGTGACGTGGGGATACCCAAGCCTGAGACAGATCTTCGACCTATCAGCGTTGGCTCTTTAGTGGTGAGATGCAGGCTGAGTGCGTTGGGATCAGCAATGCCGCCTCCTTGTGACAACCAGTGGAGTTGCAAGAAAGGCATCTCAGTTACTCATGCGATCAGTCGATGGCTGTATGATGTTACTCAGAATGAAGCAGGAGCTGAACTTGACCTTACTCGTGCGTACGACGGCATCGACCACGAGATTGGAGAAACAGCTTTATCCAAGTGCGCAGCGCCCGACGCGGTGGTGTACACAGCCCTTGCAGCTTGGACAGGACCAAGATGTCTAAGTGTTGCTGGGCATTTTACTGATCCAGTATGGCCTGAACGTGGATTACCGCAGGGCGACTCGATCGCCCCAGCCGCCATGTGTGCGACGCTGTGCCCATGGCAACCAGGAAATGGCCACGCCTATATGGACGACCGCAGCCTGGTCAACCTCTCCAGCGAGCTTGTGGCAGACGACTTGGCTGCCACGCAGGTCTTTGACAGTGACTGTGGTCTAAATGATAACCTTGGCAAGCGACAAGTTTGGAGTCGAGATGACGATCCCCCCAGCATCGTGGAGCATCTCGGCATCAAGTGCAGGCCGGTGGACCCCTTCTACCCTATCTTGCCCCACAAGGGGTGGGACAAAGTCTTTCAAGCGATTACGACGTTGAGCTCAACCCCTGGAGGTATGGATGTGCGAGAACGCCTCGCAGTAGCATACATCAGGCCTCTTTGGTACTGGGCGTCACCGCTTCTAGCACCGCTGCCTGAGGAGGTCCCTCGACTTCTTCACCGTGCTGTAGTGCGTGCTTCCTCGAAGTGGTGGTGCCAAGGACGGTGGTGGGCGCAACGCGTCCACCTTCACCCCCACCTGGGGGCAGCCATGTACGCCCTGGACACAGTGAGCCACGAGAACATTGTGTGGAGCGACTTCGTCGAGACCGCCATCCGAGCTCATTGTGCACAGCTGGGCCTTCTTTTTGTTCGCTACTCGGACACCCAAGGATGTCTGCTGGAGTATGACCCCAGCGACGACTATCGTGCGGTCGCGGCCCTCCGCGGCTTCTGTGCGCCGAACACGACTCGGTTTTGGACGCGCAGACCTACTGATGAGAGATATCTGAACCGCCTCCGTCATGGACTTCGAACGGTGGCTAGAGTTCGATGTGTCCAGAAAGTTTCACAGCAGCGGCACGACTCCGAGGACATCGACGAGGTCGACCCAAATGTCACGTCGCACAGTTTCTACTCCAAGTGGGCGCGTGGCCTCCCTGATGCTGAGAAGAAACTGCTCTGCGTCTTCCTCTCAGGTGCTGTATCATCAGAAACACGTCGACAGTCAGGTAAGTCGTGCGCTGCGTGTGGCGCGCTCTAGCCGTCTCTCCGCCACACGTGGGCTGAGTGCCCAGAGTACAATATTCTTCGTTCCAACATCGCCAACAAGTACGAGCTGCCGTCCAACTACTGGACCAGTGTACCAAGAGTGACGTCCAAGAGCGGATGGGTGACCATTGGCCAGGATGCGTCTTTGGCAAGCAGAGCCTGTATAATGAGAGCTGGTTGCGAGCTTGCGACCACGATCTTATCAAGGGCCCCTGACGAGCGACTTCGTCCTTTGCATGGTTAGTCTTTGAGTGGAGGTGCTACTCCAGAGCTAGGGTGCACCTCTTCACCATCTTCTTCCATCACCAACATCATCACCGTCCACTTCATGGCCATCATCGTCGACATCGTCATCCGTGTATCATCATCGTGTTCATACTCTGCCTTCTCGTCCTCCTGCTCCTCCTGTCCTACACACATCCTCCAGCTAAAACGCGAGCCCACCTGGCACTGAAGATGGTCACGCAGCGGCCCTGCCACGGGGCGCAAGCGTGGGATCCCGTACTTTGCCTCCCTGCCTCCTGGCATTATGTGTTTTTTTTTCTCTCTCTCTCTCTCTCTCTCTATCCGTCTCCTCCCCTCCGCTCCTTCGCCTATGCATCATGCTTCCCCTCAGCATCATCCCTCTCCTCCTTCTGATCCTGCTCCTCCTCCTCCTCCTTCTCCTCCTCCTCCTCTTCCGGCTCTCCTGCTCTCTCTCTCTCTCTCTCTCTTTCTATCCCTCTATCCCTCTTTCTCTGTCTCTCTCTCTCTCTCTCTATCTTGTCCTCTCTCTCAGTCTCTCTCTCTCTCTCTCTCGCTCTCTCTCTCTCTCTCTCTCTCTCTATATATATATATCTGAATATGTCCCGATCAGAGTCCGAATCATTATCATACGCGCAATCCGAAAGCGTGCCTGCACGGAATTGGCGTGCTAGAATGCACCTTTGCTGTATGGTAAAGATGTTCCTCCGTGTTTTGTAAGGCCGACCCCCCCTCATCGCGACAGCTCCTAAAACCCGACAACGGGGGATTATCAAGTGGCAGCCCCCAGACCTGTGAAAGCTCTCAGCGAGGGCGCGGGGGCGAAGAAAGGGTGGAGTGCTAAAGGAGCGGGACGAGGGAGGGGGCGTGGTGGTGGTGGCGATTGTGGCGGAGGGGGCGGTGGTGGTGGTGGCGGCGGTGGTGGTGGCGACGTCGGTGGTGGTGACTGGGGGGCAGGGGGCTGAACACAAAAAAGCTGGGCGGAGGGGGATCTGTACATTTTTTCTTTCCCCCGCGCCAAGTGCCAAGGCAGTGGTTTGGCAGCGAGCAGTGGGCATCATAGGTCAGCAATGATCAGGTCTGAACCGAAATGAGCACGCAGTGAGCATCAATGCCTAGCAGTGCAAAAATCAGCCAGCAGCAGCTCAGAGCTGCATGCAAACCGATTCCTTAGCCAGCACAGCAGCGATGGGCAATAGTGTACACCCAATGGGCAAGCCCTGCTGGCAGTGCGCAGCAATGAAAATCAGTGCGCAGCAGAGCAAACCGGCAAGCTCAAATCAGCCACAAGCACCAGTGAGAACTAATGAGCAGCATTGGGCAGCACTGAACAAGATGTGAGAAGCATGTGTGCAAGCATTGGGCAGGACGTTAGTGATAGTGGCCAGGCGCGCTCAGCATTGAGCATTGTGCGGACAGCAGTGGGCAATTAGTGAAAAAGCAGCGGGCTGACAGTGTGCAGCAGTGAGCGACAATGAGCAACGCTGCGCAGCAACGATGACCCGTGAGCAACGCTGATCAAAACTGAGGAGGAGGCGGGAAGGGCACTTACCCCGCTCACTGGAACTCAGGAGACGGCACAACCGATTTTCGCCATTCTCCATGCTTGGAGAGAGAGAGAGAGAGAGAGAGAGAGAGAGAAATAAAGAAAGAAAGAAAGAACAACAAATCGTATGAACAAAAAGTTTCGGAGGTCCACGGAGACCTCTTGGATCGGCGCTGGAAGCGCGATCGAATCTGCTGGGGGCCGGGGCCGGGTC